TCATAGGTGGGATTTGAACCTTAGACCTGCCACTTGGAGGATGACAACCCAACCACTACACTAGGATTACCATCCTCAGATAACTAATTTCTTTATTAGTGCTAAATATAATAGCTTTATATAATTTTAAAATTTCTTCAATATTTATTGTTATATCAAAAGTTTGATAAACTTGCTTTATAAGAAATAGTCATGTTTTAGGAATTATCATACTAATATTTTCTCTTATTTTCTTCATTCTTCTAGATGCTTGTTTTTGTTTTTTATTATCTGACATCTCATCTAAGTTATCTTTTTCTAATATTTTATCAATTTTGTTCAAATATGCTTGATTTTTAACTAGTGGTCTAATTTTCTTAAAACAAATTTATTTATTATCATTTGGTTCAATCATTTTACTAAAAGTTATCACATCATTTTCTTGATCAAATATTTCTTTTATTGTTTTGTATAGATAGTTTTTTTTGATTATATTATTAACAAATTTATTCACATTTTCAATATTTATATTGAATAAAATTGTTTATTTGATTTATTAATAAAGTATTGATTTTGTTCTTTGTCTTTGTAAATTTCAGCAGTTTTTATATAAAGGTTTTGTAGAATATCTTTTTCATTTGAGTTTGCCAATTTATTAATTTTATTATCAAAATAATTACTATTTAACAATGTTTCAATATAATCACCATAAGGAAATTTTTGTATATAACCCAAAAGCAGTTCTTGTATTAAACATGATATTTTTTTTTATATTTTGTTTTTTTATCAAATAGTGACTTGAAAGCATCATTTACATTATCTATTTTTTTTCTATTTAATATAATTCTTCTTTCTAATAATAGTTGTTTTTTTAAATATTGCAATTGTTCTACAGTATGTAATGAGTCTAGGAAAGATTGTTTCAAAGTTTGTATTAATAGATCATATTTTTCACTATCTTCGAATAATTGTTTATCATTATCTTCTTTTATTTCACTTTCAATAGTATCATACAATAGAGTATTATATTTTTGGTTTCTTAAGTTGACTAAATCATTTTTATTTTGATCATTATTTATTAGTGTTTGATTTAGTTCATTAATATTATTTGTGAGAGTATTATTATTTGATAGAGAAGCAACTTGTCTGTTATTATAAAAGTTTGCAATTTGTCTTTCATATCTATCATATCTTTCTATTTCAATCTCTTTTC